AGTGTTTACATGCAAGGGATTGCTTGTCTGAAGTTAGAAATGTTACATTTATTTTCAGTATACTTTACATGGATCTAATTCGGTTAGTAATTTAAACTAATAATAATGTATAGAATAGATAGAATGTACCTAACAATGGAGTCCTATTTGATAATCCTTAAACAAAATTTCAACAACAGGATAATCAAAAGTAATTCATATTGTGATTAACTGGTGGCTGGAGGTAGTCCTGTTGACTACCTCCAACCACCATCTCATCTCAACATAGTGTATGCAGTGTCGAGTCATCTAGATTAGTGGCCACATTGAAACTTGGTCGATAGCATTCTATCTGCATTAATAAGGACTTGACACACATGACATTGATCATCACCCAGTGACCAATCAATTGTGATTATTTCAAATTGTATTTTGCTTGATATTTTTACAAATAAATTATTCAAGAGTAAATTGAATTTTGAAATTGAATCTGTTATTGATTATTTATTATCAAGATATTAAAAATTAAAAACACGAAGTTCAGCGAAGGGATCTCTTTACAACGAATTTATTATCAAGCTGTACAATCGTATATAAATATATTTTAGTACTAATCCCATGAGGAAATGTGAACATGAATAACCAAAATAATGTAATAGAATGATTATAGCACTAGATTACGCAATACGAATAATAACAATAGTTTTAGTGAATGTAATAAAACGATTAAAATGTTTTTGTTACAATGATTAAAGGTCATAGAGGTGTAAAAATAAATAAGGTGATGTAATGAATATTTATGAATAAAATGATGAGAATATACTACTATAAGAATATAAGTAAAGGGGAATGGAGTAATAATGCTAATAATAATATTAATTAAGGCCAAGGTAACGATAACAATAGAATGTAATTCTTTTGTACGCACAGTTCTGGATTGAGCTCATGGATGGTAAGAGCTTCTGCCATTTTATGGAGTTGGATACGATGAAATGTAGATAGATTGGGACGAATCATATATGCAACATTAAAATCAGTAGAATGATTACAGTCGATTAGGTGTTCAAGTATAGAACTCCGAAATCCTTATCTCTCACCCTTGTAGGACCACACTGGGACATGTTCCCGTATACGAGTTGAAAGCGAGCACTGGCTACGGCCAATGTACTTTCCTCTAAATGGACATGACCAGACGTGGAAGCCTATCTTTTATGGATACAGAAAATAAGTTGCTACTAGTGCAGGTTATTCACAGTTTCGCCATATTAAATATTCTTTTAATCACTGTCATTAAACGATTTTCGATTACATCAGATGTTCGGTCACCTTTGAATTCCAGATTCACATAAAGATATTTTTTTGAAACGGAATCACCAGATTCCTTGTTCCCACTCATTTTTTCATATTCTGTTCTATGAAGCGACTTGAATGGCAGCTTTCAGTCAGAGTTTTTCTGAAGAATGCGAGTTCTTCGTCAATGCATTCCGTACTACATATCCCATTTATTCGGTGACATAATGAGAGCATTAGATTCCTCTTTCTGCCTAATAGAACCATGCTATAGAAGTTGGTCAGCTGGCTATCCCATTTTTGATTTCCATAAACGGATCTTTTTGGAGAACCATCAATCCTTCCCGCCACACGCACATCGAGAAAAGTCAATGAATAACCTAGCTCATTTTCTAATATGAAATATGTGGAAGAATGGCATGTGTTATCGCCACAAACGACAGTTGTGTCGTCCATGTATAGGTGAAGTCGATTAATCACTGAACTGAGTTGGTTGTTTTCTAGTCTTGCCATGAAACAGTTTGCTAAAGTTGAGCCAAATGGAGACCCCATTGCAATCCCATCTCTCTGTCTATATATTTCATTGTTGAAACTGAACTGAACATTGAAGGTACAACGTAACAACAGTTCTTTCATATGGTCAGTCGGCAAACCTAGATCTATGTTGTTAGAATCAATATACTCACATATATAGCATATCGTTTCGGTTAATGTACATTAGTGAACAAAGAGTTAACGTCAAGTGAGAACATATGTGTTCCGGAAGTATTAACGTTCTTGATACGATCAATAAATTAAGAGGTATCATTAGCAGAATATCTAGATACTCGCCTTCTAACTGATTCCAATTGTTCAGCTAACCATTGGTCGATTCGGTGGTATGGTGAACTCGACATATCCAAAATATGTCGTAAGGATAAACCAGGTTTATGTATTTTCGGTATTCCATATAAGTGCGGGATGATCGGACCTTTCGATATGCAATATTTTTGAACATTGTAAATTCGCCTTCAATCTACTGTACAATAGATTATTACATTCGTTAAATAACCATCTGACTATAACCATATACTTACGATAAAGTTCAATTTGGTAGTATGAATACAAACAATATTAAGACATTCATTGAAGGTGTTCACATGGCAACAGAGAACAATTTACTCAATCTTCAATAATACTATGTGAAAAAATCAAAACTATTACTGTGGTGTGCATTACTTAAGCGGACAGATATAAGTATGATATAGCAGGAATTAAGCAATCGGAATAACAACAGGATTAGAAGAATGATGGAGTGTGTAAGAGGCAACTCAAGGAAGATATACAAGTGATGTACTGAATGCATGATTTTCATATTTTACAAAGCTGCTCTTTGATTTCACTTAAACAATAAGTCGGTTTTCTCCACCAATTCCTTGTCCACTACATTACAACTTATAATTACGTTACATCGTTTTTTTTGTTTGATTGTCGGAATTCATCTTATAAGGCTTAACAGATCATTTCAGTGACGAAGGAAATCATTACTGTGAGAAATATTTCTGATCATATTACACCATAATCGAGAGTTTTCATTTCAAAAAATTCTTCCCTTCAGCTAAAATACTTAAAAAATATTTAATTTATAAAAAATGATTCATTTTCGAATAGATTAATTAGTACAAACATTAAAGTATCTTATTTTATTTAATAATGGAATTCATGGGTTAATTGAAGCTAGACCACCATGGAAAACCTGGGAACACTCAAAGGCCATTCCGTCCTAGCATGGGACCCATCAGCAGTGCGCATCCACGATACCGCCTAGCGAGATTCGAACCCAAGACACATCAGTCTCGCGCGCGAGCGCTTAAACACTAGATCAGTGAGTTGGCATTCAACGGTGTTAATGTCTAACTCCAATCAATCCACGAAGTTGAGTGACACACACACCATTAACTTCAGTGAGTTACTATCTCAAAACTGACCCGGTTGAACTCCACTGGTCATTGCTTCTCACTAGAACTCCAAGTAATATCTCTTGAAGCCAGTCAGTAGTGAGCATATGTTGATTAGTATCACAAGGGGTTTTGTGGAGATTATAGTAATTTAATAAGTGAATTCATGAGTTTTGTGTTAGATGATTACCTTTCTGGAATTTTCATGACGATTTTATTTATTTATTTAATGTTTGTCTTTTTCACATAATTTATCTTTAAATATGAACAAACATCTGGAAATGTATTTGGTTTATCAATTAATATCAGTCAATGCTGTAAAGGTATCTGTAAAAATAGGTGAAAAATTTAAAAAAAAAAGTCATTGAGTAAATGCAGAAAGATCTGCGCACATCATTTAGCTAACTCTTTCTAGTTTCTGACTATTTGTCAATGTATATACATGCACAATTTCTTATTCGATTGAACTCAAGACCACAGGATCTTTTGAGAAGCATGATACCATATGACGATAGAATAGAAATTACATGGTAACTATTTCTTAGAAGTATTATTTATTATTTTAGATAGTTAACTATTGTAAACACTTGTTGTAACACTATCGAAACACTGTTTATGAGATGTAGCTAAATTAATTTCATTTTATACCACTATAACATCTAACTAGGTTAATGTTAGATAATGTTTTAATTAAAGCTTGAAGAATTATTGGTGAGACTGTAATTTATGGACAATATTTCGGTGACGCTGAAGTGACCTTGAAAATGTCCACCTACTTACTAAAGCTAAATGAGGGTTATAAAACAATTTGAAGTATCAAGATTATAATGGTTAGGGTTATGAATTATATTTATAGTTTTCATCACGAACTGACATAATCTAAAATTCCAAAACACTATTTAAACAAAAGGGTGAATGAATTTCACGCTAAAATCCAAGACCTGTTTTCATAAACCTGAATGGTTCGTTCATAAATTATAGTCTCACTGAAGAAAAAATACATATACATAAATATAACAACCACTAAGATGTTCACGTTTAAAGTTTTTAGTAATCAACATTATGAAAAAATGTCAGCTTCTTTGAAAAGTGCATTACATAAGTAAGCTATCAGAGAGAATAATATTTATAGTAATAATCTGAATAGTTTGAGCAGACTATCGAACTTGTTCAAACCTAATATCTCCATAATGATTATTAAAATATAGAAAAACTCTCCATTAAATCAATCTAGTGAGTCGACAGATATGATTTAAGAAAACAGACCAATTATAGAAAATAATAATTACATCTGAATTTAGATCATCAGTTGGTCAGTGTCAGATCACCATTGAAAACCTGGAACCAATCGACGGCCGTTTCATCCTAGTATTGGACTCTTCAGCAATGTATATCCACGATCCCACATGCAGGATTTGAACCCAGAAACTTCGATCTCTCACGCAAACTCTTAACCTGTAGACCGTTGAGCTAGAATCCAACGGCGTTAATGTTTAACTTCAACCGATCCATGATATTACACGATCATCTTTCATGTTCTTCAGTGGGTGATCGCTTTAAACCCGATACGGTTAAACTCCACTGTTTACAATTTCGAGAATCAACTCTCAAAGCTAGTCACTAGTGAGCACATTATCTCAACTAAAACTCAATAATATCCACAACCCTATACTGATGATTACATTATATTTTTGTTAGAATAAATATGTAATTATGTTCTAATTAAATAATTATTATAATTAATACATAAATCCATGAAATTTATCAGTTTGATAAATAGTTTATTCAATAAACTTAATCATATTTATAATAGGAAATATACTGTTCTGTTTTATATCTGACTTTATTTATGTCTGTATTGCTATTATTATTATTATTATCATTACTATTATTATTATTACTATCATTACTAATATTATTATTATTATTATTATTATTATTATTATTATTATTATTATTATTATTATTATTATTAGTAGTAGTAGTAGTAGTAGTAGTAGTAGTAATAGTAGTAGTAGTAGTAGTAGTAGTAGTAGTAGTAGTAGTAGTAGTAGTAGTAGTAGTAGTAGTAGTAGTAGTAGTAGTAGTAGTAGTAGTAGTAGTAGTAGTAGTAGTAGTAGTAGTAGTAGTAGTAGTAGTAGTAGTAGTAGTAGTAGTAGTAGTAGTAGTAGTAGTAGTAGTAGTAGTAGTAGTAGTAGTAGTAGTAGTAGTAGTAGTAGTAGTAGTAGTAGTAGTAGTAGTAGTAGTAGTAGAATTGTAATGGTTATATTGGTTTATTCGCTAACTCATTCATTCATTCACTCAAACACTCTATACTTTCACTCCACATTAATATTACAAGTCTACTGACTTACTGTTTATTTTATATGAAGACAATTTTCATTAGATAATTAAATAAACTTTGTATTTTTGTAAAGAAAAAATAATTGTCAACCAATCGCAAAAATTAATAAATAGTCGTTTTCTTAAATATTTTTTTTTGGTACCCATTAAAGTTGTTTATCTTATTATCTAGTTTACATTGAATCTAAATACTTTAAATACATTATTTAATGAGTTATACACTACTGACTGACATTAGCTAAAAAAAGGGGACAATTGAATATTAAGGTGCACTAAATAGTTGTTTTGTTCTAGTATAAGATTTCTCATCAATAGTAATAATTATACGTATCCATTATGTAACGAATGCTGAGTATTTAAGTCTCATAGGCACCAAGCTGTAATATTTCTTTGTTTCATATGATTAATGTATGATAGATAAAAGGGTTGTAAACCCTAACATTTTTCAATGATACTTCAGTTGATTATAGTTTATCATTAGTAAAACACATAATACACGTATTTAATTAATTAATTTAATTAATTAATTTCTAATAAAAAGTAGAGAATAAAGTTTGTATCGGTTTCAAGTGATTAACTGATAACTGCTCATACCAATCAGAATAGAATGAATGTAAAAGCAATGTTAAAATGGAAGTGGTGGAGAAGATTTGTAGCTCAGGTAGATGATTTAGGTGGAGGATTTGTTCTCTGAATTGGATAGTTTTGTTGTAGAGCTTAAATTGTTCTTTTGAACAACATCATCAGCACAAAATTCAGGTAGAAGTCTGTGATGATGATGTTGTTCAGAAGAACAATGAAAGCTTCACAGGCAAATCATCCAGTTCAGAGAATAGAACACCACCTGAAGTTAGAATGAATGAGGATTTTAAAAAAACCCAGTGAAACATATCTATCTATCTATCGATAAAGTGTATATTAAAAATGTTTATAAATTGTTAAAATCTTGCACATAGTAATCACTGGACAATAAGAGTTACTAAGAGTTATTAATTGGCTTATAAATGTAAAATATTAGCCATAAGATAGATTTTAAAGGTATGGGATTATATGTCGTTCAAACTTTAAGCGTACACTTGTAAACTTCCTGGTCAATTTCTATTCATTTGAAAATCTACAACTCTTGGATTTTGAACAATACCAGCGGGTATTTGTTTAAATACATTAAAGTTGGTACAAGGGGGCACCAAATACGTATGCATCACATAAATGGCTCGACTTATGTGAGAGCTGGGATACTGCCCGGACTCCCAAACCGAAGCAGGTGGTTTTCTTAGGGGCCACGCTTTGAGCCTTTGACCAAAAGGTCTAGTCCACAAGGCATTGGAGCAGCGTAAGGGGATGCAGTCTCATGGTAGCCAGTGATCAACAATAGGTTCATACGTCATTTATTCTCTCAGGATCCTAGAATTCATGTGGACCACTGGTTCGGAATAAGGGTTTTTCAATTCCTCTAGGCGGCTCCACCATACGCATTAACTTAGTTAATGCGCCGGACATTCGCCTTTCGTCCTTTTAATTTCATAAACAACACCCCACCTCCAGGGATTTCCTGGCAGTTACTGTATATGCGTGGCCATTTGAGAGCATTTAGAGAGCGAGAACGAATCTTCCTCACTCTCAGCCGTACCAGGGCATTTCGGGGTCTCTGTAAATTGTACATAACAGGTAACTCGACACTATCCTTAAATATTAACCCTCAACCCTTAAGCTTTCATATTTTCTTGAACAATATCAGGATAAACTCCAAAAAGAAATGATTATTTTTAATTTGTTCATATAAAACTGATAGCTTGTTCTATTGATCTTCATCTTGATTTATTTTTACTGATTCTTCTGTTTTCATCGTCTTAACATTTATTTTGATTGTCATTCCTATTGACTCGATTTTTGATCATATATTCGTCCATAATTTTTCTAATCGGTCGATAAAGTGGGTCGAATTCAATGTATTTGTTGATTGAGGATTGACATAAATGTCAAGCTTCTAATAAATGTTTGGTCTTCTTTGTATGCCTTCTATCTGATATATCAACATTTTTTCAGTCGAATATATGTTTACAATTGTCATGACTAGTTTGACTTAATCTTAAATAGCATGAAGCAGTTATTCACCGTAGACAATGGGAGATGGTTGTATAATATTAGTGATTGATTAAAGTTAGATATGTCTAGAGCTTAAGCGTTCACACCCCAGTCTGAAAGCTTGATCCTCTATGATGGGATCGTGTATGTGCATTGGTGAGGAGTCTCCTACTAAGATTAAACAGTTGTCCAGTACTTTATGGTTCCCAGTGGTGGCTAAGTAAGATCAGTCAGCGATATAAATTACGAAAATGTCGATAATGTAATAAGAAGACGAAGATTATCAGAACTATGTGATGTGAAAATGTCATTAACAAGTACAAAGTCAAGAATTAGGTTGATGAGAAAGATAACTAAAATAAATATACAGACAATAATAGACAAATATGAGCGTCAATAAATCGAACTTAAAGTTGACAAAACAGTGTTATTAGTATGTGGAAAATTTTTAAAAGATTACACTTCAATCTAATATTTAGCTGATGATGTTATCTAATAATGGCAGTGAAAGCTTCACAATTAAACCATCCAGACCCGAGAACATAATACCTGAGCTACAAATCTTCCCTCTCTTTCTCTCCCTACATATATATATTCAATTTTCCTTCGGTTATCTTACAATCACAACACATGAACAAATATACCCATATAATGATTTGAAATTCCTGTGTAGTTTAATTATACATCATAAATAACAAGAAAACTATTCTTTATTATTTTAAATATTGAGAGACAACGATCTATCAAATAGTTGGCTTATTCTTTACCTCCAAGGTTTATTACACAATGAAACAAACACATTTATAAACTACTTACTATTGGCCAATTAATTCGAATAAAGTGAATATATGCTATATGATTGATCAAGTTATGTGAATGATACAATTCAATAACCAGCACGTCTGAAATTAGGTTCACTCAATACATAGACCTATACAATGTTTGTTCGCCAATAATGAAAAATGATTCTAAATTTTTTTTTGAAAAAAAAATATGTATATATATACCGGCTAAATAGTTGTCCTACATTTCGGTCTGTGCAAAATTATGAATTTTAATGAATTTTCTCTAGTTTTCAGCTGTTTTAACTTGTGAGACAAGTGTGCAAAAATGAATTATCTTTCTGTCAACCTACATTTGTACATATGTGTATATATTATGTAAATGTTCATTAAGGTTATGCCAGACCTTGATTGAAAGTACCAAATAGTCATATTATTGCTTAGTCTTTATATCTTTCCTTTTTTTTTCATGATTAAAGACAGAGAAGATAGAATGTATACTACAAATGATGAACTATTGAACAAGCATTCGTAATACACGTACTAATACACATTTTATGTGTCTGTGATTATACATGTCTTGTGTTTTCTCGTAAAGCCCACTATGCACTGTGTACTGGACTTTAGACTACCCTAGAACTTATATATACATATACATATATAAAGGAAAATTAATTTTTCAGATTTTATGAAGGCAAAAATTATAGTTGTAGGCTAGTGAACAAAATCAGCAATACATGTCTAAGTTTGCCCATAAATTATCAGACGGATTGCGTTTTATGCCGTCAATTTGAGAAACTTTTGTAAGAAGCCTTAAATAAGGTCTTATACTAATTGGTACTTATCAGTAAAGTATATCTCAGATTTTAAAGAAACAAATGTTACAAGTGAGATCCAAAGCCCACATTGCCCTTTATCATAATCAGAGATGTTACAATTTTAGAATTTCCTTCAAACAGCCGTCGACCACCAAATATCATTCATAGGTCACGCAATATCGATTCATTTAGTCTGTCGGCAACTTTTTTTAAGTGACCGATAGAATTTGTTCATCATCAAGAATCAGACATACATGACACCGGTTACTATTCACTGTCTGGTTAGTAGAGAAAAAATATAGCTTGTCACTCCCAAACATACTTTATTCATTAATTAAATATAACAGTAAGGATAGACAAAAGTTGTGCTATAATCCAGACAACTTAACTATTTGCTTTTCAGAATAACATATATAAGCGAACAATATTGTTTTCGATTAGATCCTCATCAGGCTTTACTCTAATATACAGTAATATTTATATGCATATACTTATAAACTACCTTGATTGGTTTAATAATTTCGTATATGCATATCGATTGACATGCATATCTAACCTCAACCCAATTACGATGTTGCACAACCATATGACATATCATAATGCGTAGAACTGTCTCATATATGACGTGACTGAATCCCACTTGTCATTACTTCCTACTAGAACTCTGAAAATATCTTTTTGAAGTTAGTTACCACATCGACTGAGAGGAAGTTATCGACAGAGGACAATGGAAGATAATCGTGCAATACCGACTGAAGTTAGATTTTTGCGCCATTAAATTCCAGTTCTGTGATCCAGGGTTTAAGCGTTCGCGAGCATGACCGAAATTCACGGGTTAGATCCTTTTCCATGGGACCGTGAATACGTACTGCTGATGAGTCATATTCCAGTACAAAACAACCAGCGATAGCTCCCAGGTTTTCAATGGTTGTTTAATTTAGATTGGTTCATGATTCCAATAAAATTCAACTATCTCCACAACCCTAAACTGACTATACGATTATTAGTTAACAGCAAAATTTTTATTTTTTCAATCTTTTCCCTGTACCCTGATACTGTTTAACAAAAAGTAGTTATCAAAAAGAAAAGTGTTGTGGTTATTCCTGAGAAAAATTGTAAGTGATCTGAACTTTATCATGTGATCAAAACGAATGAAAAAGTTGAATATAAAAGGACGTTTTTAGACTTTTCAATAAAGTATACTTTAAAAAATCTAGGAAACTGATACTCCCCTCGACATTCGAATGTACTTGACCCCGTTATGTATTAAACGGCTTTGAAACCTGATTAATCAAATGAGATGATGAATTTTATTAAAAAGTTTCGATATATCACTAATTACTCATATATATATATGAAGGGTAAAATGAAGTTAATCAAGTGTTAAATCCTTATGAGTAGTAAATTGTATGTTGAAGTAGCATCTGGGTTATGAAAAAGCACAAAATTCACTGATTAAAGAGTATGAACTACTAATCTGACTATATATAAATAACCGAAAATAGACTTGTTAGATATACCCTACTCTTCCCTGAATTCTGTCTTTAAATGACCTGAAAGAATTTAATTCGTGTACTGATAAAAGATACACTTGTATAGATAATTATTGATTAAATTTGCTATGAAAAGTTATATAATAGTTAGTCAGGATCCGGATTGTTCAATGCTAATATTGGGAGACAATGATAAAACCTTTAAAGGGAACATCTATTTGTTCACCTTCAGATATGTGTATTGATGATGAGTATTAATAAGTGAAAAGTCATAGTCTCTCACTAATTAAATTTACTTTTGTATTATACGGTGAGATAAAAAATGTAAATTTATAGATTTTGGCCCAGTTAGTCGATATCATGTTCTTTGTAAGACTTGATGGTACAGGGTCGGGGATTGTGTGCATTCTGGATGTACGATTTGTATCTTGACGTACAATAAGTTTATGGATAGTGTTAGATATTCTGTATAAGATATGAGAAATAGGGAATCATTGAGCATCAGAATGCAAAGTACAGTTTTTTTCTTACAAGCATGGAAGTTCTCAATAGTATTTATCTACAACACTGATCAACATTTAAATCAGCACTTTCTGACATTGTGACGAGTAAGTGACTCTTAGACTGCCGAGTCAGAATTTCATGTTTCACATTTCCAACTTCAATCAGTTCAGTATATTGTACATCTAATGATATTAGCATATAATTATTTCGCTAGTTATATTCATTCCATTCTGTAAATAAATTCTAGTGAGAAATTGTGCTTGATAGAGTTTAGCAGCATAGTAATCAACAACAGTATAACTGGTAACATCAGATGATACCCCCTGATATGACATCATCCAATCGGTGTCTTATGTAAGAACCATTGAATCTTAACAGATTATGTCTCATTTTGTTCATGAATATACACGGATAATGAGTCTTTTTATCATATCAAAACAACTCTTCAATATCCCAATAGTTCTTACTGGTTAATCAGTTGATCTCAATATGTATTCGAAATCATTTTCAAAACAATCCGTAATAGTAAATGATAATCTCTAAAAAACAATATAGCTAGAGAGAAAGTGAAAATAACAACCAGACATTCCTAACCAATTTATGGACAAAATTGAAATGTATGCATGAATCACATGTTGTGTTGTCGCGTGACGTATTTTAAAGTGAAAATAGAAATATTATTATTATTATTAATTCTGTCATTATTATTATCATCATTATTTACTACCGTTGTAACTGAATAGTTACAGAGTTTTCAGTAATACAGACAGACATAGTTACTATAGGTGGAATAAAAATATATACTTTTCAGACATTAGATTGAAACTCCCTCAGAAGAAATAAACAATATTTGTTATAATTATTGGGAATAACAATAGCAACAACGGTTTAATAATAATAATAATAATAATAATAATAATAATAATAATAATAATAATAATAATCGGATCCACCCGGCTAATATGTGCTATATTCTTCCACACATATCAAATATTTACCATTATTTTTAAGTTGTCTTTATGCAATTCATTTACTAAGCATATACTCACGTTTCAGTAGCAGTTCAATTATAAGAATTGTCTTCTCAAATCAATATAAGTGGATTATGATTTGAAGTTGTTTTTATCAGCACTGTGAAATCAATGAATTTGTTGAAATAAATAACGGTATGTTAATCTACTAGACTAGCTTACTTACGCATGTTACTCCCAATGGAGCATAGGCCGCCGACCTTCCATTCTAGTTCTATCCAGTTTTTATTTATTTTTGTCATGTCTGTCTCCATTTATCGATGTAATGTGTTCTTTGTTCGTCCTCTCCTTCATTGATCATGAAGATTCTATGTAAGGGTTTGCCTTGTGACGCATTTGGATGCTTTCCTCAATGTGTGTCCTATCCACTTCCAGCGCTTCTTCCTGATTTCTTCCTCCACTGGGATCTGGTTTGTTCTTTCCCATAGTAGATTGTTGCTGATAGTGTCTGATCCGACGTATTTTGCGTAGACAACTGTTAGTCAACACTTGTATGTTGTGGATGGCATTCGTAGTTCTCGAAGTTTTCATCCCATACAGTAGAACTGTCTTGACATTTGTATTGAAAATTCTGACGGCTGAAATATTAGTACTGTTTAATTTCAATCACTGAGATCTTTTATAAATATAGTTTTGTATTGAATATTTTCTAGATGCTTGGTGTTCAGAATTTACTTAATCAAGTGAAGACAGCTCTCCAAAACAGTTATTAATTAAAATTTTAAATACAGTGATAAAATTTCCATAAAACTATTTGAAGAAGATTCAAAAAGAAATAGTTAGCTTGAATAGATTTGAGCTCAGATTAACAATGTTCTGCAGTTTGTATTTCTACAAAATTAAGATCGAAACTAATCAGTTTGATGAAGAGAGTAAACTTTCAGAACTGTTAAACACCAACAGACTATAGTATGTCTGATGCAAAATACTTTAGATTTATGCACACACTGTCCTTGTTGATTTTAATTTGCTTTGGAAACTTAGCGGTCATTTTAAGAATCGCTAAAACTTATTGTAAAATTACAGTGACAAGCCAGAGTTGAGAATATGACTTTAAGGTTTTTACGCAAAATTCAAACATCACGTATAACGAGCAGTAGAAATATCTTTATATACTACTCGAAACTTTCGAAGTGACAAAGAAAAATTATTTTTAGCAACTATAGAGCTAAAATGATTATGTCAGGCGTATGAAATACTCATTTTTGTCTCTGTAGATTATACATAAAAGGTAAATCGACACTGTCTTGAAATTTCAAGCGCAAACCCTTAACCCTCTAACAAGTGTCAAAACGGTGCTACTACCTTTAGTGGTAGAACAAATCAGATAGCTCCCCTTACTTATATGAGCGGAATTTATTCTTGAATATTACTACTAGGGATTTTCACATTCCATAATGTAGGAACTCATGAAGATCTACTCGGTTAATTTTAAGAATTCGAAAAGATGAACAATATTTGTCCGTAAGAAAGAATTTATATGTCGTTTGTTTTTAGATTTACGGGTATTGTAACCTATAAGAGACGTGTAGTGTCGATTACTATGTTAAGCCCACATAACTTTTTCTAGCTTCTGAACAGGCCAATTTATTCATTCTTCTTGAGTCATATTTTGACCTTGTTAATCATTCGCTCATCAACCCTGATTGTTTTTATATGAACGTTTGTGTGTGTACATCTTATCATATATCTGTAACTTATTTTTGTTCGACTAGAAATATAGATTAACGCTTGATTAAATAGAATTGGATCATACGCCTTCTCTACTGCACGTCATTTCGCTTCGTTGTCTTCTCTTCATTTAGTTTCTTCGTTCGTTTGTCTGGATCAACGATCGTATGAAATATACGCATTCGAAATTGATTCTCGTATTTGACTCATTTAATCCCGTTATCCACTAACGCGATTTAACACAGGCCATCAGGTTGACACCCTAAAATCATTCAAGGTGATTAGTAAGCAGCCAAACTCCAGTCTTCTGAAGTTTGCTGAAACAGTTGCTATCAGGTGCCAAAAACCTGATTTATGTGTTCAAAAGGAGATGATTGTTAATCTTTCCCTGCCTTGGTGACAAATATTCTTCCGCTGCAGCTTAAAAAATTTTTTGTTTTTATTTTTATCTTTTATATTTATTACGTCATTGATTTTATTTTTCAACTATCTTTCAACTGAACTCTACTCACTATATTCCTATCAATGTTTATTAATTATGTAATCAATTGTTTCTAACCCTTTTTGAACTGCTGTCACGATTAATGCTCTAGAATATTCTTTCACATTAGGTATATATTTACAATATTCAG